CACACACACACACACACACACACACACACACACACACACACACACACACATGCAAACACAAACATCGTCACCCTGTAATCTAGCCGGCAAATGACAACCAACCAGACAAGACGAGAACAGCGGGCATGGCATCTTGTAGCCAACTGCACTTGCTCGTCACACAAACAGCAATCAGCCAGCACATGTGAATGACCCAACAGCTTTCAGCCAGACAGCACCAGTGCCTTAACTCATCTGTACCAGTGCCTTAACACTGGTAGGTAGGTAGTGAAAGGTGAATTTGACAGAATTGGAGAGAAGAATATAGCGCAGTAACCACAGTTTAAAGAAAAATAAAAAAAAGTATGTTTGAAAAGGCATTCCACGATGCAGACCCCAAATTTGAGTTTCAGGGTCAAGGTCTCAGGCCAAGGGAGGCCAAGTCGGGTACCTTAGGAGTCGGCCAGATCAGAAAGGTCACAGTCGGGTACCTTAGGAGTCAAGTCCAACAGGCACCCGGTAAACAGTCGTCACATCCCAAAGGCAAAAGTTGCATTCTGTAAGCAAAACTCGCGTCTCATATTGAAAAGTCATATTCCACAGGCGAAGCCAAAAGTCATGTTCCACAGATGAAACGTCACGACTCACAGACCCAAGCAGCAGCACACCAACTTGAATGAAAGTTCGGGAAAAAGTACCAGGCCGTGACATTCTGAAGCAAGCAGGCTGTGGGCATTATGTGGTACCGGGTCCAAGACTCCAAGTCAAGCCAAACGAAGCAGAGGCTGGGATGAGTCCAGACTCAGTCCAAGTCAATATAAGGACTGGCCACCCACATTTCAGGGAGATTGCTCATTCGTGAGAAGTGTGGAAGTGCTGCTGAAGCGCTTGTACGCTATCTGCGAGTAGCATGCGCGTGAGAACCCTGCTGGGCAGCGCTGCGCTGAGCCGGAAGGCGGCCATAGCCGCATAGCTAGTAATAGGAGACAGAGCTGAGTAGCAGCGGATGTATTCAGAGTCAAGATCGTCAAGCAGAGAGAGTGAGAGAGAGAGAGAGAGAGAGAGAGAGAGAAGAGAGTCACCTACCTTGATGAGGAGGCTGGAATTGGGTTGTCGAACTCTGCGCTGATGGGCGCTTGGTGACTGGAGCTCCAAGACTGTTTAATATGATAATTTGTTGGAATTACTAAGCTGCACATATCTGCCCTTCGCATCTCTGGACTCCAGTGTGGATTTTGTGTCTCTCTCAATGTGTGTGTGTGCTCAAGGTGTCGAGCAGTGAGGCTCAATGCATGTTCGTGTCCTTTGGGACAATCCACTAAAATCGGAATGATACAGAGAGAGAAGGAAGAATATAGCGTAGTTTAAAAATAAAATAAAATAAGTATGTTCGTGTGCTTTGGGACATTTACTAAACTTGGAACGATACACAGAGAGAAAGAAGAATATAGCGCAGTTAAAAATAAAAATAAAAAGGTATGTTTGTGTCCTTTGGGACATCCTCTAAAATTGGAACGATACAGCGAGAGAGAGAGAGAGAGAGAGAGAGAGAGAGAGAGAGAGAGAGAGAAGAATATAGCGTAGTTATTTGAAAAAAAAAAAAAAGATATGTTCATGTCCTTTGGGACATTCAATAAAAAATTGGAACAGTACACAGAGACAGAAAATTAGCATGGCCTCCCCACAAGGATGGCGCGCATAAATCGAGAAATGGTCCAAAAAAAAAAAAATGTACGTTAAAGTATATACAAGTATCTCATCGTATATTTGACAGCCTCTGTGAACAATAAGGGTATTGGACTGAAGACTCTCGGAGTCGGAATGACAGCCTCTGTGAAAAATAAGGGTATTTCTTTCAATGTCATTGCAATGACAATCTCACGACAAAAAAAAAAAAAAAAACTGACAATGAACGAACGGAGTTGCACAAACAGATAGCACACTGTCTCAGAGACAGGGTGCTATCAGCAGTGGCACATACAGGCAAAAGGAACATGATAGCATCACCATTCCCCCTGGGAGAGAAGAGAAGGGGAGGGGGGGGGGGAGAGGGGAAGAACTGTGGCACGGGGCAACACGCGGTTGCTCTTATGCACAAGAAAAAAAGCATCGCCCACCACGTCATGCATAGATCAACAGATCAGACCACCCTGCCCCCGAAGCTATTTCAATGAACCTCGCGGCTCGGAACCAGTGGCGTTCATCAGGGGAGGTGCCGGTTTTACACCCAGCCAGCACTACCTCCCCCAGACCTACTCTTGCCCTGATGAGGAGAGAGAGGGGGGGACAAAAAGAGGGAGGCAATCTCAACAGCAAGACACTAATTGATTGATTGCATGAATCCCAACATCATGGCAAAAGGAAACACAAACAAAATGAGAGGAGCAACGAGAGAGAGAGGAGGGACAGAGGGGGGAAGGGGGGAACAGAGGGAGAGAGTGAGGGGGACAGGGGAGGAGAGAGGGGTGGATAGAGACAAACACACAGAAAGCAAGTGCTGGGCCAACAGAAAGGTAGCACAAACGTGCAACAGTAAACTGAAACGCTGACCCATCTGGGCTTGGCCCGGCTCGACCGTCATTTTTCACACACTGCAGACGGTCTGGATGTAACTACCCAACAAGACACACACGCACAGAACACAAGGCCCGGCCTGAAGCTTTGCCCTCACACATGCTAGACAAGGGCATCATGTTTTTTTTTGTTTCTTTTTGAACACTGGGCATCATTTTCCTTAAGCGGCAAAAGAATAGCCCGCACGAATAACATCCTACTATGATATTAGGCATAGCGATGCCGCAATTGACACGAATCCATTGTCGTCCCAGCAAGACTTGCAGGACAGGACGGGACGATCGATCGCTGGCTTGGAAGTTGGGGATTTTTCACATTCTCCATACAGCGGACACTTAACGGGACGATTGATTCTCTTGCGCACACAGCTTATGCTGCAAATACTTGGAATTTCGTAAAGCTTGTTGTTACTCACAGACATGCAGTAGCATGAGCCGAGGAGAGGACTCTCGAGCCCTGTGAAGCTGTCTATCGAAATACCGGCAGAACACTCCCCTGTGCATCCTTCTTCCTTTGATATAACAAAAAAAATTGTGTCGCATTCCAGCAAGTGCACAGTCAAAGTCAGACAAACATCAGCCCAGTGAAAGTCTAGAGAAAAACATCCCAAAGCGTTCAAAGAGGACATAAATGAAATTACGCCATGGAGGCCAACAGGACAACACCCACAGGAAATCAACCACGAGGAAGACAGCCACATCAGGAAAGACAGGTGAGCACATAGCGGCAAAAAGTTTGGCCGCACAAAACAAGTGCAACGCTACAACTTGCGCTCTCAATGCGATCTTTGTGAACGCAAAATTGAGATACGCTGCCTACGTATTGGCTATCTTCACAAACGTGAAGGCCGTCTTCACTCCCATGCACACGTGAAATGAATGATGAAGGGCGGGTGATAGTGACGCAGCGAGGGTGAAAAGGAGGGTCTCGAACATCAGGGTCTGCAACATAAGTAGATCTTCAGCAAAAGAGTCCTCAACATAGGGGTTACCTACATAAGGTTATGCAAAACAAGGACGTGAAACATAAACAAGGGTCCACAACATAAGGGTCAAAAAAACAACATAAGGGGTATGCAAAATAAGGGTCTGAAAAGTAAGGGTCTGAAACAAAAGGAGGTTCTTCAACGTAAGGGTCTGCAATATAGGGCCAGCAACATAAGGGTATCCAAAAGAAGGGTCCGCAACATAAGGCTCGGAAAAGTAAGGGTCTGAAACTGGAGGAGGGTCTTAATAAAATAAGGGTCTACAAAATAAGGGTCTACAAAAAATAAGGGTATGCAAAATAAGGGTATGCAAAATAAGGGCACGCAAAATAGGGGTATGCAAAATAAGGGTCTGAAACAGCAATGGTCCCGCACGGGAAAATAAAGGCATGCAAAATAGGGGTATGCAAAATAAGGGTCTGGAACATAAGACTGGTGGACAACCAATGAGAGAGGGAACAAAACAATGGGACTAAGCGGGAAATGCAACAATGTTCGGTTCGGTTCAGTTCGGTCCCGCAATTGTAAAAGTGTATGAGAGGGGTCCTCCTTATACCCAGAGGCAAGAAGAAAGGTGAGCGAACTCCTCGGTCGGAGAACTAGGTTGATTTGCAAATGGATCTGTGCCGGAAATGGAACAATGTTCGGTCCCACAATCATGCAAACATTAAAACGAGGAAACTTTTCCGAAAAATCCGAACAGTGGATTAGGAGGCTGGAGGGGGTAACCCATATAATTTTATCTCAGCATGCTCCTCAAGGCCAT